ACCCACAGAGATCTACCTGCCTCTGCCTCCCAAACAGACCTAGCTTTTTAATGACAGTTCTGAAGGTCCAATTCAGGTCATCAACTTGCATGGCAAGTGTTTTGCTGATTGATCTATCTTTCCAGGCCCAAGTTTTTTCTTGATTTCACTTTCTGAGTCTCTATCACATTAAAATGGGTCTGAATGCCCACATTGTAAATTAGGGTGTGGAGAGGGAAATTAAATAATATAATGTGCAGATACTAGAATATCGTACAGAGTGCTAAGTAGAAATTACAGGAGGCCATTGTTCTGAGCTAAATTCCTTCCCTAGGCCCTCTGCATACCAGATTATAAATTAAAATGGAGTCACTGGTGCCCAAGGCCCTCATCATCAAGCTGAAACTAAGGTGTTTATCTGACCTCTCAAGAAACCAGGAAAATGAGAGCTAAGAGCCAAATGCCCCAAACAGGTCAGTTTCAACCCGAATACTGATGAACTTCCCTTGGTTTTCACTTTAATCCACACACAAAGAAGTGGCCTGAAGTGACCCTATTCTCTGTCTCTTTGCTGTTGGCGCTCTGTCCCCACCTTACAAAAGAGAGTGACTTTGAAACGATGGGCTTTTTTCCCTGTCCTTTTTTTCTGTCTAGTTTACTTCACTTCCCGGCAAAAAGAAAATCTGTTCTTAGATTTTACCATGTGAGCTTGACATGCAGGGTGGACACATGTGTGCACAGTACTACGGTCTCTTTTGTTCTCCCAGTTGGACCAAAGCCTTGTCAATGTCTATCAAAGCAGATGCAACAAGGTGTCGTCTACTCTGAATGTCATCGTATTCTAATCCTAGGCTTGGCCATAGTTCAGCCCCAGGTGTTAAAAGTTTGGACCTTTTAGCAGATGTCTTGCTGCGGAGATCTGGTGGAACCCTGAAGAGAAGGGGTGTTAGTTCTGCCTTGGGGCCAGATACTGGGGTTCTCACCCTCCGCCCCCTCCCTCTTGCTCCCTAGCATGTGCTCCCTCTGCATCCCATCTCACTGCTAGCCCAAAGGACAACAGGATCGACCTTCACCATAGACTCTGAGCACACACACTCCCCCCCCCCCCGAAATCCCAAACAGACCTCCCCTCTTTTTAAGCTGCTTTCCTAGGGCGTGCATGATAATAATGCAAAACGACTAACATGGGGTCAGTGCTGGATGGAGAGTGGAGGTGGCAATAAATAAATAAATAAACAGACAAATAAATAAATAAATAAATTTGCCCTGCCCTAGAAAAATCAGCTCTTTCAACTATTACTATGGTGAAACCTATATCACATCAAAAACAACTGAAGACTTCATGTGTCCAATCACCAGTCGGTTCAGCAAGATGGGTCAGCCAGGCAAACACTCAAAATGAACTCTCTGTGGGCTGTGAGAAGCAACAGAATTCTGATTTCTATAGAAAAATGATTTTATTTAACCTCACAGATAAGTCCTTATAATTTTTTGGGGGGTGTTGACTGATATTATTATTTTTTTTTAATTTTATGTGCACTGGTATTTTTGCCTGCATGTATGTCTGTGTGAGGGTTAAGGGTCTCCTGGAACTGGAGTTACAGACAGTTGTGAGCTGCCCTGTGGGTGCTGGGAATTGAACCTGGGTCCTCTGGAAAAGCAGTCAGTGCTCTTAACCTCTGAGCCATTTCTCTAGCCCCGACTGATAATTTTTTTAAGTTTGGTTTCAATACTGATCTTTGTCTTCTAGTAGGCTTGAATACTAAGTCTCAACACTGAATTCTATTCTCACATAGTATTCCTCCGGATTCTTATGGCACAGTGTCAACTTAGTATTAAAAAGCTACTTAGAAGTGTTTGGTTGGGGACCGGAGTTGCTCATTCACCTGACAACAGCTGTCCTCTTCCCCTGCAGCTTGCCAGCTGAGTCTGCCGAAACTCTGCATCTCAGAACTCTGTCTTCTCTCAGCTGCCCTCTAGTGGTCAGAACACAGACCGTTTCCCCAACAGCACTTCCCTGAACAATGGAGAACAAAATAATGACCCACATTCATAAATAATCTGTGAGTGCGTGATCCTCTCCAGGGTCAATTAGCTCACGGAGACTTCACAGCAGAAAATTTTATTACATACATGCTCTGTTTTGAATGAATGAATGTTTGATTTATCAGCTGTTGTCATGGCCCAATAGACATAGCTGTTTTTTTTTTTTTTTCTAACTAGGCAAAGGAGGAAAGGCTTAAGGGTGAGTCCCAGGATACTGAAAAGAAAGGAACATGTGTAACATTAATTTTAGAAGTCTTATTAATAAAAACAATCCCAAGGCCAGTTATTGGGGTGAATGCTGGAAGATCAGAGAAGCAGAACAAGCCCCAGCTACCTCACCTCGCCAGTTCCTCAGCTGATCCTGTTTCCTCAGACTGGAAGCCTCTGAGTCTTCATTCAGAATGAATCTCAGCTGAACTGCTGCTAGAAGTCTAAAAGCTTAACCAGCCAAATGCTACTATTCTCTGGTTTTCATGCCTTATATATTTTTCTGCTTTCTGCCATCACTTCCTGGGATTAAAGGCTCACTTCTTGGGTTTAAAGGCATGAGTCACCATGCTTGGCTGTATGCTTGAACACGCAGAGATCCAGGTAGATCTCTGTCTCTGGAATGCTAGGATTAAAGGCGTGTGCTACCACTGCCTATCCTCTATGTTTAATATTGTGGCTGTTCTGTTCTGTGACCCCAGATTAGTTTATAAGCATGCACAATAGTTTGGGGAACACAATACCACTACAAACATGGATAGGATCCATGGCACCTTCTGTCCCAGCCTGATAGTCTGAATCCACAGAGAGATTAGGACAGGAGGTGACATAGACTCTGTAAAGCCTACAGAGTGACTTGTATGAAAGAAGAGTTCCTCTCCCTTCCTCCACTACACTCCAGACAGCCCAGGGAACCAGGCAGAAGGAGGGAGGGCCCTCTGCCTTAGTTGTACCTGTATTAATTTGAGTGTTTCTTATTAAATACCAACACATGTTGATGGGAGAGAGAGGCCTCTGCTCTCTCTAGTCCTATTGCAATCACTGTAGCTAGATGGGAGGTGTAGAGAATGGAAGCAGAGGATGCTGGGTTTCCTCACAGTGCAGGACAAGCAGCGGAACTCAGATATGGACCAAGAAACTTGTGGGATGGAGAAACTGGTTAAAAACTCAGAGGCAGGGCTTGAGTTAATTCTCCCAGGAGCCTTCAAATGCAGAGGTGTGACAGTGACATGCCATGCTAATCTGTGTGCTGGTATTAGGAAGGGGACAATTCTTTGAACCAAAGGTGAAAGAAACGCATCCATCTAATATGCTTCTCGGTCCAGAGTATTGGAAAGCATTGCCTTGGGAACCCAGCTCTACCTGTGACTCAGTCCACCTGTGCACCTGTTCTGGATAAGGTTTCAGGCCTCCTGCATTCTCTGAGGGATCTCGGCCTGACTCTTCTACTGTGCAGTACTTCAATTGCATATAGGCCTAGGAGATGATGATCATCTGTAAGGAATCGATGTCCCGTCTCCTGTCAGCTCTCTTTCCTGGGTTTGGAAGTGGGAACAGAGTTGAAGAGGTGGATGTGAACGCTGATCACTGGCTGCCTTCCCCCACAAGACCACACAAGAAGTGAATGGCAGAGGGGAAGGAACTCCACTATGCTAAAGCCAAACGCAGTTCTTTCTCTACACAGTCAGCTGGGAGATGGCTCTGCCATTCCATTAAAGAGACATCCCCTGCTCTGCTCAGGTCCTGTCCTTCCTGCGGGTTCAGCACCTGCTCTGGGAAACCTGGGGCCTTGGAAGCCCTGTGCTCAGGATCCTGCAGCTCCAAGCTGTAAACCACACTAATTGCTCTCACCTTAGGGTCATCTACCTTTTCTCCACTGTGTGGAGAGTCATGTCAACATGCAAGCCGAATGCCAGCTCATGAAGCTTGCCAAGAATCCGAAGCTCTGGGAAGGTTAGTTACTGGCTCCGTCTCTGTGGCCGCACCATTGGGCAGACATCTCTGTTGCTCTGGAAAGTTAATATAGATATTTCACAAAGGCCACTGCTCCTCTGGTTGGAGTCCCTGCCAAGAACGTCTTCAACACATAGCGGACACTTCAGTGGGAGAGAGCATGGGAAGCTGCCGGCAAAGGATCGAGAGAAACACGAGGAGGCACTGTGCCCGGAGAAAACAGCACGTGGCCCCCGGGCCGGGCCACTTGGAACACTCCTGTGGCCCTGGAGACACAGAGCGAGCTGAGGAGCGTGTTTGTTAACAGGCATGTGGTTGGTGACAGGGACCTTATTTCACTGGACTCAAATTGATGTATTTTATGCTGTGCTATTCTTTCATCAACTCAACACAGACTTCGGCACAGTAGGACTGTGAAAGTCTGTGTAAAAGTAGACAAGCAGAGTAGGCTTTGAGTCACTGAAGGCTAACCAATATTCATGATGGCATGGGTGACGTATTTGGACCTAGATAATTGGATGTCCTTCCTCCCTCCCTCCCTCCCTTCCTCCCTCCCTCCCTCCCTCCCTCCCTCCCTCCCTCCCTCCCTCCCTCCCTTCCTTCCTTCCTTCCTTCCTTCCTTCCTTCCTTCCTTCCTTCCTATTTTCGAGTCAGGATTTTGCTATGTACCCCAGGCTGGCCTGGGGCATGCAGTAATATTTCCACTTCAGCTTCCCAAATGCTAGGATTAGAGGTCCATCTCTGATTTTGTTTTACAGTAGAATAGGTACCATTGTCCTCCTGAGTTATTTTAAAATGCTTGAAGAAACCATTGAAAACAGCAGTTATTTTCCTAGATTATCCCACAAGGCGCTCTCTCTCTCTCTCTCTCTCTCTCTCTCTCTCTCTCTCTCTCTCTCTCTCTCTCTTTCTTGACCTGCCCAATGCTGCACCACAGAGCAAGATCACTGGTGTGCTAGAAACAAAGACACATTCTTTATTTCTCTCTGAACTTCAAGGATGTTGGCTCAGCTGGCCTGGTCTGGCACACACAGTTGAAAATGAATTAAATGATCACATGTCCCTGTGTATTCTCTGAGCATACATCCTGTACCAGCCACCAGCCACTGTCTTTTGAGGCAAGGATGTTGAGACACATAGACCAGAGGGCCTGAAGCTCAGTCGAGTGAGCCAACTCTTCTGAAATAATGCAAGGCATCATGGCCAGGGCCTGCTCATGCTGTCTTGGGAGTGTAGACGGGTCATGTCTGCAGAGATACTCCTGGCTAGAAACAGAAAATCGAAAGAGGAGTGAGAAGATGATTCCCAAACAACATATTCTTTAGTGGATGTAATTAATAAAGTGACAATTTTTAAAAACCTTGAGTTTGCAAAACAACATATACATTCAAAAGATTCGGTCCTCACAGCATCTGTGAAAGGTGAAAACTGTGTTTATTATCATGCAATCTATTTAGCATACATTAAACACGGATTCTGTGCTGTCGCTGCTCTCGATTCTGAGGACAGTGAATACACCAGGTACTGCTGTGTGCCCCTGGCCTTCTACTATCCTTTCTCGATGGATTCGTGGTTTTTCTCGTTGCTGTGACCAAGAAGCAACTCAGCCGGGGAAAGGTTTGTTTTGGCTCACAGTGCAGGGGGCACATCTGTCATGGTGTAGAAGTCATGGCACCGGGGGATGCTTCTTCACAACTCAGTGCATCAGGCAGCAGAAGAGGCCTGCTGGTGCTTAGCTGGCTGTTTCCTGTTTTCCTATGTGTTCGGTCTGGGACATCAGCAAAAGGGATGGCGCTGCCCACATTCAGGGCTTTCCCGGGCAGGTAATTCTCTATAGAGATCCCCTCATGGACACGCCGGAAGGTGTGCTTCCGTCATGCCTCAGGCATTTCTTTATCTAATCACACTGGCACTTGAAACTAAGTGTCACACTTGCTATGACCATGGAGCTGGTTAATGCGCAAGCATGGCATCCTTGTGTGAAATCAGCTTTCCCACCCTGAAACTACACCACTACACAGAGAGCACATCTTTTCGGTTCTTTCTCAGCATTCCTCAGTTAGCTCAGCTACTTCTGTTGGCAAAAACGCCAATGCCAACACACGCATGAGTTCCTTTCTCCATGCTGCGATCAAATGCTTGACATGAAGCAACTTAAGGGAGACAGGGCTCATTTGGCTCGTCGTCGTTTAAGGGGATACTGTCACCATGGTGAGGAAGGTACCACAGCGGGGACATGAGGCCCCCGTCACCTTGTGTCTGCACTCAGGAAGCAGAGAGTGGGCAGGAAGCAGGGCCAGGTGATGAAAGCTCAAGGTTCCTTAGAGTGACTGATTGCCTCCAGTGAGGCTCCGCTGCCTAAAGGTTCCAACCTCCACCCACCATTACCTGGGCCACCATCACTGTGTTCCAACATGTGAGCCTCTGGAGGACGGTTTGTGAGCCTAACAACGTACAGTGTTGTCCCTGGATGTTCAAAAATCTGAGACTCTGGCAGCAGAAAGAGTGCAGATTCCAGAATGAGGACTGATAGAAGTTGAAGACGTCATCCTGGGCACAAAGGACCATTTCCTCTTAAACCCAACTAATTTAGAAGGCTTCACAATGACTGGCTTAAGTCACCTCACTGTGAGCCATGACAGCCTTTTCTAACTATGGCCATTGCCATGACAGCCTTTTCTAACTGTGTCCATTGTCCATTGTTGTGAAAACTTCTAGTTTTTTTTTTTTTTCAGGATGCATCACCTTCATTTTGATGGTTGAACTGTGGATTCAATTGCCGTAGTTGGCTAAGCTTTGCTTTCACGGGGGCCCATGGGAAGCGGAACACTGATAAATGTTCAACAACCGCTGTCCAGGAAAAGCATCCACACACATATGCACACACATACATTTGCTGTCAGTTTTACCTACATGAATCATTTGTAGCTTTATGAATAATTACAAAGAGTAGTGTCCTTTACTCCTAATGCTGTAACTCATGCTTACAGTCAGGCTTTGCTGCTTTCTGCTGAACGACTTGACAAAAGCAGACACATGCAAACATCTGACTCTCTTCCTCTCAGCAAACCTGCTCGGAGCCTAACAAATACGTGGAGCTCCAACACAGTATCCGCGGGTATTTCCATTCTGGTTGAACTAAAGTGGAGACATGGTGATATATGTGGGGATTTCCTTCACTTCTCCACAGAGTGATTTTGTCACCCAGTCAGAGAGTGGTTTATGGCCTTGAGGGAACACTTGTTAGTGTTTGGTACAACTCATAACTTGGCAGGCACAGATACACTTGGAAGTTTTATGATAGACTTTAAATTTTCCTGACATCCGGTGAAGTTTAATCTGTCCCATTAATATTTTTTCCATCGTGTTAAGTCTAGACAAGAACAACAGCAAAAATTGGGTCCATATTTGTAATTTTGCCAACCTCTGCGTGTCGATTTCCCTGCCAGGGCTGACCTAATGTTTATCTAGGGCGTCAGGGCACACGAGACAGGAGTGGATGTGTGGTAGCACGCTGCTGTGTGCTGTTTCCATGATACAAGTACAGCAGGTGAGATGGGCCTTAAGGCCATGGAGAGCACTGAAATGCCAGAACGCAAACAAGGAGAGAGATTTTGATGACATCTTCATTTTTAGTATAACAGTAATAATTATAATTAAATTAGCAACAATTATAATAATAGTTTTCAATACTTTCATAATTTTAATATTTTTAATATAACCTAATTTTATAATTTAATAATAGCTCTATTTAACACCAAATTCTGAAAATGTCATAATTAGCCTTCACGAGCCGCTATAGACAGCTCCAACACACCCTCTCCATCTATCCCTCCACCTCAGTGGGAAGAATAACACTTTTTTGTGTGTGTGCAAGTCTGTGCTGATAAAGCATCAACAGGTACTCAGTGCATGCATGCTGAATGAATGAGGACATATAGAGGCTGGATGCTCAGTACATATGTGTCGAATGAATGAGGACATGTGCTTGTCCATTGATCGCTCTCACTAATGCATGCGTGCTCTTGTTTTCTTACATGCACATGCATGGCATCATTACTCCCTTATCTTTTCTACTATGTGATTTCCTCCCTTCTTCTAATGGCAGGGCTTGAGTTATCACAATATAGCTTCACAATTGGATCATGCCTCTTCTAAATTAGAAGAACAACCCACAACAAGGCTAATTAAAAATCTTATTTGGGTGGGTGAGGAGGTAGAAGGACAGTGGGGGGGAGCTGGGAGAAGGGAAACTATGATCAGACCATATTGTATGAAAAAATCTATTTATTGTAAAAATTAAAATTATTTAAAAATATATAATTTGAGAATTTCATATAATATGTTTTGATCATATTAAACCCCTCTCCAACTCCTCCCAGATCCCCCCTTCCCTAACCCAGTCACTTTGTGTCCTCATCCGAGAATATATAGGCCACACACCTTGGACTTAATGGATGTAACATGCTAATTGGGCATTTTGGGAAGCAGAGGCAGGTGGATCTCTGAGTTTGAGGCTGGCCTGGTCTATAGAGCAAGTTCCAGGACAGCCAGGGCTACACAGAGAGACCCTGTCTCAAAAACAAACAAACAAACAGACAGACAGACTTAAAACCAAAAAACCCCACACTGATAGGTTCCTGAATGTGGTGTCCTTGGAGACGGCCATCTGATAACCAGCTGACAGTGAGCTGGACTTCGGGGGATTTATCTCACCAGCTGTTTGTTTACATCATGAGACATTTACCTTTATTCCTGCAGTTAGCAGTGGGGAAGCCACGTTCTTATTTTTGAGTCACAGATACCAAGCTCTTCTCCCCCTTGTCCACTTCTTTTCAGGATCTTATCTTCATGGTGTGATCTGCCTGTGGGCTCAAGGAGGCGACAATAGGGGTGAGGCTCAGCTGAATTGAAGTCATTGCTTTGCAAGCACAGGTGAAGGGAGCCATGGACCAGCTGAGCAGAGACCCACCCAGGAGACTGTTCCAGTCAATCACCCATTTTCATCATTTTTCACTCACACCAAGAAGTCAGTCCTCAGTCCCTCCTGGAAATCTGAGCAGTGAAATGTTTAAACACTTTAAAAGTATCACTGACTTTTTCTTACAGAAGGAAGGCATGATTATTATGGAAAACAATGAAATACAGAGGGGGAAAAAGTGAAAACGTTCATAATTCACTCTCTCAGAGATACTTACCAACTTCTCTAGACTGTTGAGTGCATAGATTATAGACTGGCTTAATGGAATGCTTTTCTTTCTTTTTTCTTGAAGTTATATACAGGAAAAACTTTTCCCTTTAGTGGGCTTCCTTATCTTGAAGCAAACTAGAACTGTGCCCTTTGTCGTCTTGCCTGTCGTGGAAATGCAGCACTGTACCAATGGTGGCCAGTCACTGATACAAGCATCCCATGAAGACCTGTGCTGTTCTCAGAAGAGAAACTGAGCCTTGGAATCTTGTTGCTTAGTTTTTAGGGGTTTCTCCCATGTGTGTATGCATGCACATGTGTGGTTTCCTTTGCATTGGAATCTTTAATTAGAAGTTAAAGTATTGCTAATTAGTGCATATTTCTGTAATCATTTCTTTGGCCTACTTGATGCTAAGTATCTTTTCAGTACAAGCTTGCATCACCTGTGCTGAAGTCTGGACCGTAGTGTGAGCACTGAGGCCCCTCCTACATCCATCAGACAAGCACCTTGCTGGGATCCAGCCAGGTGGGGCAGCCATAGTGGGGTTCTTCTACCTAGACAACTCTTCACCCCAATGTTACAATCACTTCCTTCTGTGCCTGAACAATTCCAAGAGATGCTAAGCCGTGGCTCTGAGCCCAGCTGCTCTCAAACATAAGAAATAAAAGGAGGTCTGAGGTGCTGGTGGGTGGGGCTCCTCACTGACACCGGAGAGCAGATAGTCAGGGCCTTCAGCACTTGGAAGAAGATGTCTCCATCCCTCTAACCATTCCAGTTCCAGGGTATCCTCAGTCCACGTCCACCATAGACTCTAGCTCAAGCCTGACTCCTTGAGTTACACACACACACACACACACACACACACACACACACACACACACACAGCCAACATCCTCCTGGAGAATTCTCCTCTGGTCCTACCAGCCCTGCTATAATGAATTGCTAGATGGAAAATGCTGTCTCCTCCTCACATCCCTTGGGAACTGTGTTCTCTTCCCTCAAGGCCACTGGTCCCCTCTCCTTCTTGGTCCCATACTGTTTCCTGTGTCTAGCCCATGGCTTGTCTTAGACGCTCATTGCTTCCCGCCTGCACCGTGACAGTGGTCTCTGTGCACATAAGGTCCTGCCTCCAGCTGCTCCTTCCAGTCACATCCTCCTATGCATCCATCTGTAGCCTTGTACCTCCAAGTGTGATCCCCAGACCGGTTGCATTAGCACTAGCAGGGAGCGTGTCAGAAATGGGAATTCATAGGCCCCGTGTTCGCTAGCAGTCAGGATCTAACCTGAAGATGGAAAGGTCATTAGTTTGAATAAAGAAAATTGAATGTGACAAATGGGTGACTGGAGGAATAAATTGTATCCAGTCATGTGATGGAAAGCTGTTCAGGAAACATGAATGACTCACAAAGCCATTACACTGAGAAATATAGGCAGGTCTCACACAACCAGCTACATGCAGTACAGCTGCGTGGCTATGATGTCTGGGAGGGGACAGAGCTCATTGACTGTCGGGTGCTGAGGAGTGTTTGCTGATAAAGGGACTCCACCAGAGAACTCTGAGAGAGCTGAAGGTGCCCTGTGTCTTCCTCATTAGGGCTGATACACTTGTTTATATATATACTAAGCTCACAAAACTGTACATCCAGAAGGCCAGGTGGGAGACACACACACACACACACACACACACACACACACACACACACACACATACTCACACACACACACACACCAAGCCATAAACCATCAGCTAGAAACCAGAACTGTAAGTTCATGTTGATACAAGTATGCCCAGGGAGATGAGCAGACAACCCTGAAAAACCACTGCTGTGACTGAGTTGTTAAATGTCCCCAACAGGCTCAAGCTGTCTGAAGACTTGGTCCCCAGCTGGTGGCACGGTTGTGGGATGTTGTAGACTCTTCTAGAGGCAGAGCCTTGCTGGAAGAAGCAGGTCACCAGGGGCAACAGGCAACTTTGCGGTTTCATACTTCAGCCCCACTTCCCGTTCTTTTTCTGCTTCCTGACTGGATGCAGTGTGAGCAGCTGCCTCCTGCTCCCAGGGCCATGCCTTCCCTGCCATAATGGATGCAGCATGCCCTTGAACTGTAAGCGGTAAGGAACCCTTCCTCCCTTGAGCTGTTTCTTCTCAGGCACTTGGTCACAGGAACGGAAATGTGACTAATACATCCGCATTAATGGAGTGGTCCCTCCTCACATCATCAGTAGTGTCCCAAGTGGAATCACTTTTCATCTGCTGAGATGCAGCGAGATCACAGAAGGCCAGCTTCACAGGCCAGCAAAAGTTACATACCCTAAGGGTCCCAGGCTTGCAAGCCCCGTGCCTGGTTTCTTGCTCTGTTGCCACATTCCTGAAATTCTCAGTCATTTTTAAAAACACATTATCTATGTGAAAATGTACATTTTCTTTTGCATCAATTCTCGCCTGTGACTTGGGTAATCCTGAATACCACACAGCTTCTGTGACAGTCATCTAAGTTTTACACACTGAATTTGATCGGGATGAAACAACAGACCAATTTAATGGCTGGGCATTCTACATTATTAGCTGGCTCTAGTGTTTCCTTTCTTACATTTTATGTGTATGGATGTTTTTCTTGCATATATCTGTGCATCACCTGATGCAGAGCTTGTGGAGGTACAAAGAGAACATGAAATCTCCTGGATTGCAAGCCACCATGTAGGTGCTAGGAATTGAAATCGGGGCCTCTGGAAGGGTAGCCAATGCTCTTAAGCACTGAGCCATTTCTCAGACAGTATTTTTTTTTTAAGATTTATTTATTTATTATGTATACAGAAGAGGGTGCCAGATCTCATTGCAGATGGTTGTGAGCCACCATGTGGATGCTGGGAATTGAACTCAGGACCTCTGGAAGAGCATTCAGTGCTCTTAACCTCTGAGCCATCTCTGCGGCCCTCAGATGGTATTTTTAACAGCCAAGGTCAGTAGAGTCATCAGGAGCTCCAGCAGCTGTTTTGTGTTGAAGGAGATGGAGGAGACAGGACGAGTAACAAGGTAAATAAATAGTCTTGGCTACAAAGGGCACCGATACGTCAGGGAACCTTGAATGGGTTCCAAAGATGAGACGCCAATAATAAGTCAATGTTAATTGTTAATTTTCCCATCCTGATGGGTACATACTGGTTGTATAGGAGGATATTCTTATCTGTACATCTTTGAGTCTTAAATACTGGGGAGTGATCGGGCCATTTTCTTGGCAGTTTCCTACCAAAGAGATCAGTAAAAAAAACTGATTTTTTTTTTTTAAAAAAACCTTTTCATTAACTTTGAGATTGTTTCAAACAAGAAAGAGAAGTGATGGGGAGAAGAGAGAGTGATGGGGACAGGGGAGGGAGTGATGAGGAGGGGGAGAGAGTGATGGGGAGGGGGAGAGAGTGATGGAGGAGAGAGTGATGGGGAGAGAGTGATGGGGGAGAGAGTGATGGGGGAGGGAGTGACGGGGGGAGAGAGTGATGGGGGAGGGAGTGACAGGGGGAGAGAGTGATGGGGGAGGGAGTGATGGGGGAGAGAGTGATGGGGGAGGGAGTGATGGGGGAGGAAGTGATGGGGGAGGGAGTGATGGGGGAGGGAGTGATGGGGGAGGGAGTGATGGGGGAGGGAGTGATGGGGAGGGGGAGAGAGTCACGGGGAGAGGAGAATAACAGGAAGGGGAGTGTGAGGAGATAGCTTCACTAATTAGGTGTCATGTGACCAGAGACTTGACTCAAGTGAAGGAGGGTGTTATTGGAAGAAGAACATTCTGGACAAGTGGAACAGAATGCAAGAAGACCAAAAGGAAACCACGTGCTTGGGAAGTTTGAGAAAGTCAGAAGCCGAGTAAGGGATGCTGCAGAGGATGGTTACAGCTCATCCTCTCCAGCATCCCTTTTACAAAGTTTTACAAAGACAGAGCCAGCTTGAGTGGGGAATAGACTACAGGGAGGAAGCCAGGAGGCTGGCTGAGGGGCCACGGAGAGGTTTCTCTCTCTGATGGATAACTGGGCTGCAGAAACCTCTTGGAAGGTCAGTCAGCCCACAAGTACAGAGTGCTGGCAGAGCTCAGCCCGGGCGGCAGCAATACCATCTGACTGCACCGGGATTCCATGCTGGTTGCCTTTGGAGACCTGCCAAGGTGTGTCCAGCACTGAGGATGCTTGCCAAAGGGCACTTCACTTCTGATCATGATGTGCTAGGAAGGTTGAAAAGCCAGATGCTTTCATTTTAAATCTAATTTTTCCGTTATTTGGCACAAGTGTTAAAGTGTCGTTTTAAATTAACTATCATAGAACCAAAGACAAGTTTAGAGAGAAATATTGTAACTATCAGACCATGCCTTGTCACCCGGGGCTTCCTGGCAACTATAAACACTTGCCTTATGCAGACTGCATCTTCCAGACCCCCCACCCTGAGAGAAGGGATCCCAAGCTTCCATTGTCCCGTCCCACCGCGTGCTAAGCTTTTGTGTGTTAGTCAAGCAGGATATCATTGGCTGGGAAACTTATAGACAGAAGGTATTTCTTTGCGTTAGGCATGCTGGGGAGTCTTAAGGTCCTGGGGCTCACATTTGAAGACTCTCACTTTGTGTCATCCCATCGTGAAAGGCAGAAGGGAGAATGGAGATGGAGAGGGAGAAGGGTAGGAAGATGGAGTGAGATTAAA